TCTTAACAAGTAGTGCTCTTGCCTAAGGCGGTCTTGCAGCTTCTGTCATTGTAGACTGCTTCATATACCTGTTGCTGATGCTGTTGAAGTTGTGTGTAAACACAAATTATTCTGTTGATTCTAGTCTACCATCTCTGATGGTTTGTCAGTAGTATATCAAGCTGTTAATGAAGTGAGCTTCTTGGTAGCTTTCTTCATGCGATCCTGTTGAGCTGAAGACAATAGAATAGTCTGTTTTTCAGCAACTCTGTCTGCACTTGTCTTCATCTTGTGTTTTCAACAATGATAGAAAAAGAGATTTGCGAGGATGAGCTTCACTTCAAATCTGCAGGGATCTGTAATGAAACGATAATATTTGATGCTTGGCCTGCAATGGGGCTGGGTTACAGAGAGAATTGTATAAGAAGCTGTTTCTCTTTTGCTGCAAAATGCCTTTAGAACATCATCTCAGCATTTAAAACTTGTTATTTGTTGCAAAGGCTTCCTTAAATTCTGTAGCAGTAAATGCAACATAAATACTCTTTTTAATAATGTCACATTCAAAATATGTTAAGGAATTTTTTTGGGGAATCTGTAAGCTGAGCAGCTTATTCCTAGCAGTGTTCCAGTCCCATCCTACTTAGCCTGGTGAACCAACTGAATAACAACAAAAAAACAACGTTGAACAAAACCCGTGTTTGGCTTTCATTTGCAGGCTTCTGGAGCTCTTCTTGCTGAGGAATGATGACTTTTGAACTGTAGGTAGCATGCTAACTTTTTAAAAAGACCCAAACTAGTAAAATGTTAAAGGATAGGTAATTGTTTGGCTGCTCAAAGAAGAACAGATGAGAGGAAAAGCTCCCTTCTTCCTTGTGGCTTCTACCAAAAATAGAAATATGAATCACTTGAGTGCTGAAGCTTAGTATTGTGGGTGTCTGCATATATTGTCACAATAACCTAATTTCTTAGTGAGACTAGCCAGCCCCATCGTGATGGGAAAATGGGAGGAATGCTCTAAGTCTCTCCAAGTCTTAACTTCCATGACTGATGAGTGACAATGCTAGTATCTGCAGTTTTTCTGAAATGTGCTTCCCTTACTCTGTTTTGAGTGATATTATATTTTTATACTGGGTGGCTTTGCCACCTTTTGTTTCTTTATTTTTTTTTAATTTAAAAACAGAATAACCCCCCCAAAATGGAAGGCCCGTTTTGTAAGGTGTTCTCAGTTGTTTTAAAACAGAATACTCTGACTTTAGGTTTTAATTTCCAACTGGTATACTCCTAATTTCAGGTACTTTTCTGATGCTTTCAGAAGGACATTAAAGTGCTTTACAGAAATGAATAGACAAAACATTATAATAACTTACCATGCCAGAAGATATACATGTAAATTGCTGACAAGTTTCCCTTTTGTCACTGTTGTAGTCTAAAGCTAGTTTGAAAACTGAGATGTGACCTTGTTTTGGTGTTGAAACACTTGGTTTTATTCATTTGATCTCATTTAGTGGCTTGAAATGCTTAGCTATAGGACCCCATAAATATTAGTAGGATTCTGTGCTCTCTTATGGCTTTAGACAAAATTTGCTGTGGTGAGGAAAACTATCGTGCTAGGACTGCGCCTGCCAGAGTCACTTCCCTAGAATCACAGAATCATTAAAGTTGGAAAAGACCTTTAAGATCATCAAGTCCAACCGATTTCACTGTTGCACTGAACTGAAATTCAGTGTTGCAATTTCTGGATCTTGTGCCTTAAAGCCTGCAGATTTCTTTGTCAGCATGCACCCTTCAGCTTGTGGCATCTATTAGGATAGTCATTAATTTAACCCTTCCTTTTTTTTTGGCTTTAGAAGGAGAAAAAAAAAAAAAAACAAAACACAAACAACCAGAAAAAAAAAAACCAAACTGCTGTGGCCTCACTGGGACTGTTGGGAAATAGTACTTTTACTGTAGGAACAAGCACAACTGTGGTTTAGGGCAGTAGTTCTATGGAGAGTCAGTGTTCCCTAGCACCTGAATTAATTTATTATTATTTTTTTAAAGTATCTGAGTTGTCTTCTGTCAGCAGCTCTTTGACAGCCTGTCTGTCCCCTCTTAAAATGAGATGTGACCTTCCTGTGGAAGGAAACAGACCAAATATTGTAGCAAGGTCTTTTTCTGGCAGTCCCCCCAGCTCTCTTGTGCAGAAGAGCTCAGAAGCTGTAGCTGGGCCGTTGGAACACGGGTCAACGCTAGGATCAGTCAGACAGGAAACATGGGGTTCCAAAGCTGTTCCTGTAACCTGGAATTGAATGAGTAGCAGTAATCTTCCTGTATTTTCTCTTGTTTGGCTCAGGGCTTGCCATGACTGAAGACTTCTTATCTGTCGGTAATGATCAGCTCTGTGGGGAATACTGCCATTGCTCACATTCCCTAAGTTCTGGTGTATTGTCTCCAGTTAAAAATGTAGATGCTCCCAAGACGTTAAAAGCAGCCCACGTCTTAGTCACGAGGTTAGCCCAGCAGAAAAGCTGTAGCGGTGCTACAGGAAATGTAATGTCTGCATTTTATTGCATTAGGAATGCTCCGTTTGGGTTTGTTATAAGCTGTTGGTATTAACATAAGTAACACTTTCTGGAAATCTTTTACTATAGAAGAGTTTCAGCATCCCTCTCCTTTGTCTTTCCTGGAAATACAATATTGTATTATAAAACTGTTGCTGGAAAAATAACTGTATGGATACACACTACAGCTACCAGAAACAGATTAGTTCTCATCCTGAACAGTACTGCTCTGTGTAGACAGAAATGTTGCCATTGTAATTTGCTTTCTAGCTATCCCTGTAAAGTACAAAGCTTATTAGTGCCGTGATTTCAACGCAGCGCATTCTTACATATTCAGCCGATAGAGCAAACTAAAGAATGATGCGCTGAGAAGGGAGGAGGTAAAATGAATAAAGTTAATTTAAAAGCATCTATTTCAATATGTTTACTAATCTTTCTATAAGAATTATATTCCTGTTAACCACTCTCTGTGTGTGCTTACATATGTAAACAAGAACCTTTTGCGCTTAATTTATTACAAAATCTTGGACAGGGTGAAGTTGTGCCTGTGAGTCTTCAGGGTCAGGGAAAGTAGGTTTTCTGTGTGTCTTGTTTTCTTCGCTGTTTAGTTGTGCTGTTAGAGCAGTCTTGTATATTGGGGCTGTGAGACTGCTGTTAGTGACTACGTGTAAAATAAGAGGGCTAATTTGTTTCCTTTCTACCTTGAAGGGTGCAGAGGTCGATCTTGTAGTCATTTGCCTTTGTATGTGTGAGTTCAGTGGTTAGGAACCCTAAGGATGCTGCCAGACATACACCCCCACACCTCCTAAGATACTGGTCTGTAAAGCAGAGGATGTGTGTGATGCCTCTTTAGTTGCTGTTGTGTTTTGGTCGGTTGGGGTTTGTGTGTCTTGCTGTTTTTTTGTTGTGGGCTTTTTGTTTTTGTGATCCTACTTGGAATGAAACTTGACGTATTAAAAAGGAATCTGAAATTGGCTGCATTATTTTTCCCAAATTGTTGAGTTTTTTTTAAACTAATACTGGTACCAAGATCAAGTTTATTTTTTTATATTGTTATGTGAGAACATTGATTTTGTTCTATGTAGTGAATTTCCTCTAGAACAGCTGCTGTCATGATGACAAAAAAAGATGTCACCAGTTGTATTGTTTCTTCTGACATCTTAACCGGCATCAAGATATGAACAGTGGAAGACACGTATTGAATGTTGCTTACTTGTTCTTCAGCGAGCATATGCAATTTTTTTAACCAAGCTTATGCTAAGCTAATAATAAATAAATGCAAACCACCAAGGCAGTGAGTTGCCTTGTGTTGTGAGGAACATTGCTGGCTGTTCGTGAACCTTTAGTGACAGGAATACCTGGAACAGTCTCTTGCAGTCTGAGCCTTTTTGCCAGCTTCTGAGCCATCGCTCCACAGCAAAGCGGTCCAGTCTTGTGTGGAGGAAATCATGGGTCACCCGGCTATGAGCAAATGGTTGGGAGACCTGATGTTAAGAGTGAAGACTTTCTTCCCCCAGCCACCCTGTGATTTTTGGGTATTGAATTCGGGGAAGGGTTGCATTTAGACGTAGCTCCTCCATTTTTATTTGGGGGGTTCAAATCGTTGGGGTCATTGCAGTGCATAAGAATAAAACCAGACTAATTTGAATACCTCTGTTCCAGTACCTTGAAGATCTTAACTGGATTTTTGATACAGTGCATATAAATTGTGTAGCGACTAATCTTCTGTCCATCTGCCTCTAATGACGGTAGCTGCTTCCGACTTCACCCTGGCATTTCTTTCTGTTAGTAACTGCATTCACCCATTAGCGAGCAAAAGAGCAGGACAGGATACTGGCAGTCTGATGGATTCCACTAAAAAGGCACATGCATAATTCTGTATGTAAATGTAACTAAAATAATGTTCCAGAGTATTTTAATCTGGCTTCTAATCATTCCCTGGTTTAGACTTGAGCTATGGGCATGTAATTGTTGGCACCTGACTCAGTAGGCTCTCATTAGAGCCCTCTTAAAAACTATATTTGAGAAGCTCTCTTATGTGGAAACATGAACAACGGATCATACTTCACGTAGTCGTAATCACGGTGTAAATTCGGATCCAGTAAGAAAGGAGGGGTTTTGCTTCATAATGACTGCTGGACCATAAAAGTTTAAAATGCAGGTTTCCTTCCCTCTGGAGCGCATGGCATAGGACACAGATGGGTTGGGAATTGCTCTCCTTTCCTCCCATTGTTTTCTTACCTGTCTGAAAAGAATATTGAGAACTTTCCACTTTCAGTAGAGGCCAGCATAGAGGACAACTTCTCTAAATGGTTTTCACTTGCAATCACTAACAAAGCCTGCAAGTGGTCTTCAGCTTGAGTTTAACAATGCAGTTATTGAGTAATGCTCCCTTAACCCTTTGGCTCTTGCGTAGTTCTCGAGTGTATCTCGCAATTACTATATATATGTATATATATGTGCTTTTTACTACAGGATGCTTTGCATGTGGAATGGAAAATGGATTCCGAGTTTATAATGCAGATCCACTCAAAGAAAAAGAGAAACAAGGTAAAATGCTTACTTATTATACTGTGCTAGTTCTGTGTTGGAAGTTCAGCCTCCTTGTTTTGTTTTTTTTTTTTTTCCCCTGCAAGATCCTTGCTTAGCTTTCACCCTTCTGTCACTGGAAGGCTTTGAATAAAGCCTCAAGAAAGGAAGTCTGTGCTGGTCCCAAATGGACTCTCACTTATGCCACTGCCTGGTCAGATGTTTAGATGCTATTCATTTGCATAAAGCTGGCTGATGATGAACTTGTCTCGCCTTCTTGCAGAGGCTGAATTGTATTAGCTGTTGCTAACGTTTGTAGTCCGGAATACAAGATAAGTCACCTGGTTATTCACAAGTGAGAGCGGAGTTGCTCGCTGCAGCGGTATTATGTACCATCAAGAGAAGTTGTTCTGTTCTTGTGCAATAATCTGGATGACCTAGTACGGCAATAAAAGCACTGCCTTTTTACTGGAGATCTGAACCTAATGTTTCTCGTACTTGCTTAGAGTATTGCTTGTAAGAGCACTGTGAGCTCAGACCTCTAATACTCTAAATTTTATATTCTCTGTATGCTTAAAAAATTTGGGAGGATCTTAAGGCGGTAAAGCTAGTGTCATGTCTTAACAGAAATTACTGGATGAGCTATATGAACAGGCAGTGGGGCTTTTTATCAGAAAGCAAAGCTAACTGAGTCAAAATAAGGGAAAATGAAACATAGCCATGTGATCCTAACCCTAAATATGGGAAGAATGCTGCCATGCTAAACAGGTTTCCAAGCACTTCAGCCTGTGGTGGTAGAAAGGATTTAATAAGAGGAAAAATGTATTTAAAATAGCAATTCCTATAAAACCAGGCATGCTTTCGCTTTCTTGTGCTGCAAGAGATTTCAGTCACTGTTCATGTAGCCAAAGCTGACAAACTGTTTTCTTAATACTAAATTTTTCCGTAAGCAACACGTTTTGGGACTATCATCTGTGATAGTGTGCTAGAAGGATCAGAATTCAGGTTGAAGTCCTTCTGAGTTCCTTGCCAAAACTCTCCCTGCCAGTAGCTCTGGACGTACTTCCACGACTCCTATCATGAAGCGTTTCTTAGGAGTCAGATTGCCTTTCCCCTGTGCGTTCCAGGAGGGCAGGCTGTACTGGCTGCACAGGTACACAGAGAAATCTTATTCATTTTTCATGTATATTTAAACCTACCTGAGAGAGACAAGCTCCATCTGGGACTATTTGATTGATTTCTGTAACTCAGTATGAAACTAAGTCTCAACTGTTGCACCTGGCTTGTCTGTCTCATACCCAGGAGTTCCATGAAGTTCCCTATCCAAGCATCACCTGTCAAAATTTTAAAGATAGTGATTGAAGTGTCTGTTCTAACATAGATTTGGAACACATTGCATGTTTTTAAACTGTCTTGGGTTAGCATTTGTAAATAAGACTTTTTGTGGCAGTGATAATACCTTTTCATAAGAAAATGTGCTGTCATGCTTTAAATGCTTTAATGGAGTTAAGAGGAGGATCTGGTGCAGAAGGGGGTAGTGTCCAAATACAATTGTTAGGAAGGAAACTCAGCAGTCGAAAGTGTTGTAGAAACCACAAGTACTTGTATGAAATCCAAGGCTCTACTGCTCCAATGTGAGTATCTTTCCAGGCATCTACCTTCAGCGCTGTGTAGTCAAGTCCCAGCACAGATTCCTCATCCAGGTGTGCTGCGGTGCTTCTTCATGTCAAACTGCATCTCCCTTGTCCTGTCCTTCATGCGTATGTCCACATCTTTCCATGGTAGTGCTTCTTCCTGGCTCCTCAGATAATTTTGCAGTTTTCTCCCATCCCTCTTTCTCACAGTAGGTCTTTCTTGAGTCCTTCTGAAATTTTCACTTTTTCTCTAGCTTTGAAATGGCTTACTAGTTTTGTCCACCTTTCCTGCTGCACCCTGCCAGTGTGTGGAGGTATCAAACAGTCTTTTAAAGTAGAAGTTTGTTCTTAATTCTGCTCATCTACCTTGAAGGCCACAGTTACAGCCTCTCCTCCTGACAGTTCAGTTCCCTTGCCCAAGTGGAATGCCAAGCATCCCTCTAAGCTATGTAAACAAAGCCAAGCCCCCACTGAAATGTCATCAAATTGAAAAATGTTTTTATTACAAAATCCCCTGGTTGATATTTTGTTCCTCCATTTGCATCATAAGCACGGCATCTTACTCTACTTCCTCTGCAGTTGAGATTCTTAAAAAGAAAAAAAAAAAACTTTTCCTTGCACTATGAAAAATAAAGCAATTTGGCTGAGAACCCTAAACAAGCACAAAAAAAAAAAATCAAACAACCCCCCCGCCCCTTTAGTTAAGAGTTCTTGCCAGTCACCCCCACCCTTAGAGGATTCTCTGTTTTTTAACCTCAGCTAAGGTAGGAAGATACTATTCCTCTCGGGTGCCTGGGAGATGTGCTAGATAACGCGAGCTTTTCTTGTAACAGTGGTAAAAATTAGATGGCATTTTAACAGGTTCTGACACTTAAATACATTTGTTTTTCAGAATTTCTAGAAGGTGGTGTTGGCCATGTTGAAATGTTGTTTCGTTGCAACTATTTAGCGCTAGTAGGTGGAGGAAAAAAGCCGAAGTACCCACCTAACAAAGGTGAGTCTCGAGGAATAGATCTTGTAAATGCTTGCCTTGCCATCTGTGTGAAACTGCCCAAAGAGCTCCCAAGCTTCGTGGTGAAATAAATTGCATCGCTGCTGTTGCGGTGTTAACAGGCAGTTACCTGCAGTAACTGGTCTGAGACCTGGTGACAAAGCCTGTACTTCTCACAGGTAACTTTGCAAGTAGACTCCAGCTCAGCAAGCTGAGCAGGGGGAAAAGGTCCTTGGCTGGCAAGCTTTGTGAGAAAATATGCTACTTTTGGTTGGGTTTTTTTTTTGACTGCTGCCACATTTCTTTGATAACCTCAGAGCAAAACAAAAAAGCTGGTTGTCTTTAGAAAAATTTATTTTGTCAGCTTTTGTGGTTGGAGTTTACCAGGTCCTACCTGCACGAGTCATAGCATGAAAGAGTGGGTTGATGTGTAGTAGCTCAGTGCCTTCTCAGGATGCCAATCTGTAACTGCTCAGCTATTGGATGCACCTCTTGATTTAGTCTTCTCAGAAATAGAAGTTGTTATAATGGAGACAATGTGGATCTTCAGCTATGCCTTGGTGATCTAACGCAATCTCTGCACTCTTCTAGTAATGATCTGGGATGACCTGAAGAAGAAGACTGTCATCGAGATAGAGTTTTCTACAGAAGTCAAAGCAGTTAAGCTGCGAAGAGATAGGTAGGTACAAAAAACGTGCTCCAAATGTGCAGCTTGGCTTTGCACACTCTTCTTATTCAATTCCAGCTGTTTCTGGAGAGAAAAAGATCCTCCTTACCACCAGCAATTAAAGGTAAAACAGGCTTTTGGGGGCAAGCATTCGGTGTCAACAGATCACAGCTCAGGTATGCTGGTATCGGAAACCTTGGTGAAAAGCCTGCGAGCCTGTCTGGCCCCCTGACGTAGGGAAGTGTTCTCATGCGGCTGTGCTGACTTTGTCTAGGTATGGAGCGTGAAGGGAATTCAAGCAGATCTCTAGAGCAAGAGCATTTCTTAACAGCTGGAGTCTCTGTATGTGTGCACGGAGGGTTCTGCTGTCACAGCTTTGGATAAAGTGCTTTGCAGGCTCACAGTTGCATGGTGTTTTGTAAGGCTGCAAGTCTGTTGGGGGGGCAGGGGGAGAATATAGCAGTTAGATCAGTTGAAAGCCTTTGCAGATCTGAATTAATATATATATGTCCCTGTTCTACCCACCCAAAGTCATAGGAATTTCTCGTCTGTTTCAGAATTGTGGTAGTCTTGGACTCGATGATTAAAGTTTTCACGTTCACACACAATCCCCACCAGTTGCACGTCTTTGAAACCTGCTACAACCCTAAAGGTTAGTTGTGTGTGTGGGCTGGGGAATGGAAGCAAGTTTATTCTGTTCCTGACATGCTGTTTATCTTTAGCTGCCTGAATCGGTTTCCTTTAGTAAGTTGTTAAACAGTTTACTTGCTGCACTGTAGTCATGCCCTTTGGAGATGCTTTTGTGTTTATAAAATGGTTATTAAAATGTATTAATACTTGGCACAGAAAAGCTTTCTCATATACTCATGTTATGTTAACAGATTTGATTTCTGGAAGAGCTATATGCTTTTTCTGTAAAGAACCTGTAAACTTGATGTGTTTTGTGCTGAAAGCTTAATTATAAACACAAACTCTGTTGAAGTACATCATTCCTCTTTTCCCATTCAGCTAGAACCTAGTCTCTTACAGTGACAAAAAGACCCTTATTAGCAAACTGATTTTTGTCCTTTTTAAATAGGAAGTTATGGCTTTGTCTTTTGAAACGAGCAGAAGGTATCTTGAACCAGGCTGAGTAGTCGTGCCACCGGCTAAGAACTGCCTGGGGCAGTGATGCCAGCTCTAGGCTCCAGGCAGGCCTGGGAGGGATAGGGCTTGGGTCTGACCTAAGGGAACGGTTTCGTTGCAGTAGGTTTATTGAAAAAGGGAGGTCCTGTCTGGAAGGAGAGCTCGAGGGTCGTGAGATGAACACACTCCTGCATCAGCTGCACACTTAAGACTAGCTGTGTATGTGAAGGTCTAAAACTGGAGGGGTGGAATGTCTGCCTCTGGGCACAACTGTGCCCTGCTGTGCTGGTGGTCAGGATCCCAAAGCACAGGGCCGGAGTGGGGAGGTGGAGGGAGCTGGGCTCCTTTACTCACACAAAAGGAGACTCTGATGGGCTGTCTGCAGCTGGTGGCTTATGGCTACTTGAAGGACAGTTACAGAAACAACGGAGCCAAACTCTTCCCAATAGTGCCAGACAGTCAAACAAGGGCTGTTGGCCATGTGTGATACTTTGGGAGGATCAGCTTGGATGTCAGGAAGATGTTTTCTCCACCAGGAGGTTACTTAGGCTTGGAGTCCCCATCTTCAGAGGTCTTCAAGCCTGCTAGAAGCGACCATGGAATTGCTGGCTGCGCTCAGGGCAGCGCAGCCTAAACACAGATCCGGCATGCTGACTTAAGAGGCTGGTGGGCGTATGGTGGCCGATGCAGAAGTGTGCTGTTTATGTGATCCCCACCTGGTGCTGCCAGCTGTGGACTGAGTTTGCAGGAGTTTTGCTATCAGCAGAACACCTGGGAGAGATGCGATTTACCTTTAAAGGATCTGCAAAAAGTTATTGAAGAAAAAGGGCAAGTGCCATAAGAACCAAGTTCAAACATGAATTGATAATAATCAGTTTTACTGACAGAGGAGAAACTAAGATATCAGCTATTATAAGCCCTTATCCTTTTTGAGCTGCTAAGGAGACTTTTTTTTTTTTTAAATAGCTTTGCTGTAACAGCCTGATGGAGCTGATCTCTGAAAACATCCAGATTTTGGATAACCACAACTAGGTTACTCTGAAGTAAAGTGATGAGAGCAAGTTAAAATTATGCTACTCCCCTACTTTACTGTGCTCCACATGTATGGACGGATCATGTTTTGGGATACCGCAATAGCCATTAAAATGAAATTCTGATTTACTACAATGTATGTTTGTTCTGAAATTACCAATATTTTAGAAACTTATGTTTGAAAATTTTATTAGGTTATGGAAATTACAGTTACTCTTTTTTTTTTTTTTGTCTTCTAGGTCTCTGTGTCCTTTGTCCAAATAGTAATAATTCTCTTCTTGCATTTCCTGGAACACATACTGGGCATGTGCAGATAGTGGATCTCGCTAATACCGAAAAGCCTCCTGTGGACATACCGGCTCATGAAGGTGTCTTGAGCTGTATAGCTTTAAACCTGCAGGGAACAAGAATTGCAACAGCATCAGAAAAAGTAAGAATTATCTCCTCCTACCTCTGATTTACTATGTGATTTACTATGTGTAGCAAGTCCTTCTAATGTAAGAAGTCACATCCTTTCGTAGGAAAGGCATAGAAATAAGTAACTGGAAAATTTTGTCATTGAACTGTGTATTCTTGGTCTTTATCTTTACTGCTTGCATAGGATACCTAAACAGCGATCCTAACACCGTGCCTGAGGTAGCATTTGTGTGTTAGGCGACTGAAGGGTTACTGCTACAGTGATGTTTGAGTGAGGCCTGGTCCAAGCGGTTCACGTGTTTCATGTGTTCTTCAATGAATACTATTAATTTTCAAAATAAAGGGAGGGGGAAGGCTTACTTGCATTCTTTCACCTTTATTATTTTCTGCTTGAATTCACTTTAAAGCCCCTGGCTAAAGAAATACTTAGGTCTGTCATGCTGGAGGAGTTAGTTCTGCTCCCGTTACAGACCAGGAGGGAGGTGCACTGCCTCCATTTTTCACATACACACACTGCAGCTGTCTTCATACAGAGTCTCAATGATAAAATAGTTCTTGGAATATTTACCAAATTGTGTGTGGTCGTGTGTTACGTAGGGCTAAACAACGCACTATGCTGACAAAAACCTGAAGTTCCTGCCAGCCTTTGGGCTGGGCTGAGGCAGAGAGCTGTAGAAAGAACGCAGAGCGAGTCACAGACCTGCCTTCTCTGTGGGAACTTTGGTGGAGTCTCTGGTGAGCTTCATCTCCCGAGGGACAGGTCCAAAGCAATGTAAGGTCGATGGGTAAGAGGCAAGCTGAGTACTTGCTACCCTCTTCCACTCAACTGAACGGAGTTTCTTGAGGACAATCTAAATTAATCCAACGAGTCTCCGTTTAGAATAGTTTCTACAGCACAGCCCATAGCTAAAAAAGCTTAAAAATAAGAAAATGCAGCCATAGTCTCTCTTAGCTAAGCTTAATTACTGTATGTCTTTTAAACAAAGCTTTTGAAACTGCCAACTCTGTTGCTAAATGGAATAATAATCTGCTGAATTTGTACTGAGACGGTCGTTTTTTTAGTGTAGAGGAAAAAGTTTAAACAGCATTGTCAAACTGCAATAGGAGTATGGGCAGGCTGTCATACCGAGCATGCTGCAAGAAAACAGCTCGTGTCTTCCATCAAAACTAGGCTGACACTTACCTGAATCTTTCTCTGCTGGGTTCTGTTATTTACTGGTGTGTGACTGGAGAGATGCATTTGTTAACCAGGTGTATGAGATGAGCTGCAGGTGACAACGCATACCCACTCTTCATCAGATGAAAGTACTGCTGAATTGTCGATCGCTTTATTTGGGATACGCTGACTTGTGTTACACCTCTGGTGTCAAGCTTAGTTTACTTTGACGTACAGTTTTCTAATGTAATAGTCTTTCTGTAACCCAACTCAGTTATGGCGTGTCTCAGATTGGGATCACTGCAGATAATGAGCATGCAATAGGTAACTAATTCTTCTAGAGTAGTTCAACTGAACTAAGTGTGAGACCAGCCACAGCCTGATGGTATTGAAGTGGGAAAAGAACTGCACAGTAGTAGAGTACTGATTATGGGGGGCAAGAATGAAATGATTTGCAGAACTGGGCACAGAAGGCTGTACACAAATCTAATGTTTGTAAACTATTGTCAGGGCTGCACTGGTGCTTTAGAATGTAACTCTGGTGGAACTTACGTAGTTGAGTAGCCAAGTTACAAGATTGTATACCAAAGCATTTGAGGGGGGAAATCAATATGCTTCCCCAAACTTACCATCTCTCTTAGAGATTCTCTCAAATGTACTGAGATGAAGAACCCAGCTGTGTATGTAGGGGCATGCTGCTCAGACAGGATTTTAGGATGCATTCACAGGTGTAGAGAGTCTTCTGTCTTTTCTAATAAAATGCTTGATTCCTTTTCAAGGGGACCCTTATAAGAATATTTGATACTTCATCAGGGCATTTAATCCAGGAGCTACGAAGAGGATCACAGGCAGCCAATATCTACTGGTAAGTTTAACTGCTGCTGGTTTGCTGTCTCACGGGTATTGTTGTGCTGAAGCAGCCCGGTAAACAGCACCCGAGTCTCCCTTGCAAAGGAGAGCTATGCAGCCACCGGGCATGAGGCCGAGCTCTCCTGGTGGGCAGCGGTGCCCGGGCTGCACGGGACTGGGGCTGCTTCCCCTCGGCTAGGAGCTGGGGAGGAGAGAGCAGTAGCTGGCAGCTGTGTGGAGCCTGGCCTGGGTTACAGGGGTTGTGACAAAAACCTATGTAGGATAGGTGTGCTTCTCTGCGTGGAGTAAAGGGGAGCTGGGGCGTACTTCAGCTTCACTCTGAAACACCGGGAATGCAAAGATCCAGTCTGACACTTCCTGGAGAGCCCAGGGGAGTACCCGGGGGTGAGTAGAGCGTTCATTGCAACACAGTGCTGCTCCGCATGAAGTGCAACTAAGCCACTGCTGGAAGTGCTCTCCCAGGAGCAGGGAAACGTCCGTTCAGCTGCTGAGCGTTGCACCTTTTATCCGATACCTGCCTACTCCTCGGAGCAGAGGTTGTGTGTTTTCTTGCAGCAGAAGTGGCAGAATGGCCATGTCGGAGCGGGCTGCTGCATGGCTGGTCCCGATCGCCCAGGCCCTCTGTTTTGTGTGCATGCACTTGCCCCTGCAGGGGCTGTTCGTCCTGTCAGCAAAGCAGTGCTCAACTGGAGGAGTCCCAGCTCCCCCAGCAGAGGAGCTGTTAACACCTTTGCCTGCCAGGCTGGCAGCTGCTCTAGGCTACTGCAGCAGCAGAGCCGCGTACACCAGCAGCTGTGGGTATGTTCCAGTAGAAATACTGCAACTGTCTGTATTCTCTACAGTATAAACTTCAATCAGGATGCTTCCCTCATCTGCGTATCCAGTGACCATGGCACAGTACATATTTTTGCTGCAGAAGACCCTAAAAGAAATAAGCAGTCAAGGTAGGGTTTGAGCCATTCTGAAGCCTTTAGGGGGACTGGGGAGGGCCTTGACCTTTTAATATTAAAAGTTTAAAACACTGCTCCTGTCAAGCAACAGCTAATGCCTGCTTTACTGGAGGTGACAAGATTAATCTGCTGTGCTTGAGTGAAGTTGCAGATTTGGGACTAAGAGCAACGTGTCCTTTGCGGAGCTGTAGAATTCCAGCAGAAGGTTAGGCTGTCTCTTAGTACTATGCGGATGCCTCACGTACAGCAATCCCTACTAAAAATCTATCCTTCTGGCAGTTTTTGCAGTCACTAAAAAACATAAAGCCAGAAAGGTAGTTGTAGGGTCCCTTCCCTAGAAGGGGAATCGTGCTTATTACCTGATACTTAGTAGAAGAAAATAGAAAGCCAATCAAAAATAGCAGTTACTGTGAACCCTCTGACTTGTTCAAACACACCAGCAGTTGTAAATCAACTCTATAGTCAGCACCTTGCTAAGTTGTTATGCCTTTTTTTTTCTCTTTCAGTTTGGCCTCCGCCTCCTTTCTCCCCAAATACTTCAGTTCCAAATGGAGTTTTTCCAAATTTCAGGTTCCCTCAGGCTCTCCGTGCATTTGTGCCTTTGGAACAGAGCCAAATGCTGTCATAGGTAAGCACTGCAGGCTTCCCCAGGTTCTGCCTGGAGAACCAGGTTTTGAACTACCCTGGCCTTGAGCTAGAGGGAATGCTGAGGTGAGACACCAGCATGACAAGGGAGAAAGATCAAGCAGGACCCGGGGTGGAAGGGGGCTGTACTGAGCTGACAGAGAGGGCATGGGGGCTGCCTTACCTCAGGCTCCTCCAGACTACCCCTCTGTGTGTTCCACTGGCTTGGAAGGTCTGTTTAAGCTGTAGCTAAGGAACAGAACGGTGCCTCTGGAACAGATAGGCTTAATAATATGACTTTGTTTTTGTTTCAGCAATATGTGCAGATGGCAGCTACTACAAGTTCTTATTCAACCAAAAAGGGGAATGCTCAAGGGATGTCTATGCTCAGTTTCTAGAAATGACGGATGACAAGCTTTGACTGTGGGGGTCAAAGTACTGCCTTGGCTATTCTGCATCTTTGGAAGGACAGTATATGAATGTCTGATACTGAGCAAGAAGCTTAGCAGACCTCACTGAGAAGCCTGGCCCAACATGATCAGAACAAGCTCTGAAGTAGTGGACTACATATGTTTTTTTCTCATTTCTGCAAGTATTCATCATTAAAATCTCTTTGGGTTACTGTCATCAACTCAAGTTTTCAAGATGTGGCTTTTCAACAAGCTTGTGCCTATTGGGTTTCTCTTAATCTAAACTGTGAAATGACTTTAGATTAAACACGAGTGCCTGCCACACTAAATGAGGGGGCTGTACAAACGTACAACTAGCCTTAGAAAAAGGGATATGAAAACAGGCAATTTTTAGGCATTGCTTTACTTCTGCTGACTGGCTGGGAGCAGGGGGAATACTAGGGATCAGACCAATAATGCTCTACCAGCTTGGCTAGGAACAGGAGTGCTGCCTTCGCCCCCCCGCCAGGCTTAGCTTAGTGTTGCGGAGGAGACGAGACGACAAGCGCGTAGCCCTAACTGTAGCTGGAACCACGCGTGTCCTCTGTGCTGGTGTAGGGGGCTGGGTGGTGGTGGGGGCCTGTGGCCACAGACTGCTGCTCCCCGACGCCTGCCCCTGTCGGGTGAGTGGTCAGCACTCACTGTCCAAGGTGCCAAACTCTCCGTGGCAGCTGACAGCATGTTTAGGCACTGGCTGACCCAACTAACCTCTCCTCGGCGCACAGAGCGAGCAGCCAGGGCACACGGAGCTCCTGTAGTTGTAGAGGCGATTCCTCCTGTAACGAAACAGCCATTCTAGGTTTACAAATGGCCCTCGGTACTGGTGGGACAGCTGTACTGGCTGGCCTTCAACTGGAGGACGGGACAGGCCCCTCAGACATCCAGCACAATAAATTGGCGAGGTGGCATGAAGCATCTGTCTCTGCAATGGCTTTAAACTTGCAAACTTTTTCTGTTTTTGAGATGTTGCATACTAGATGCTGTTGGCCTAGGGACAGTTAGGTTAGACTAA